GGACTCCTAGCAGTGGGAGTAGGGGGTGTCTTTGACTCTTTCATTTGTTCTAGGGACCCTTTCCCTAATTCTGGGTTGCCTTGCCCAGCATTGGTATGAGGGGTTGTGTCTAGTTTTATTGTAGCTTGTTATTATGTGCTCAGTAGGATATCTCTGGGAAGCCTGTTCTTTTCTGAAGGAAAATGTAGAAGTAGATCTGAGGGAGAAGAGATGTGGTTGCGGGGAGACCTGGGAGGAAGGGGAAATTATGGCTGGAATATAATGTAGGAGAGAATATATTTTAAAAAATCCTTGAGGAAACACTTACCATACAAAGTAGTAAGGGTCATTAAAAATTTTCATGTATATTTTTTTGATGATCCTCTCCCTGTAGTCCCTTCCCTCTCATGTATTCTCCCAGGCCCCTCCTGATTTTGCCAATGAAAATAGCATGAAGAGAATTGTTGTAAAGAGAATATGAAAAGAACAATGATGGTTAAACCAGTTCCTTTTTAAAAACAGCAGAATAAAAAGGCCATATAAAAACCTGGTTTGTTCTATAGGATTGTTTTGACTGTCCTGGGTTTTCTGTTTTTCCATATAAAGTTGATTATTGTTCTTTCAAGGTCTGTAAAGAATTGTGTAGAGATTTTGATGGGGATTGCAATGAATCTATAGTTTGCGTTTGGTAGGACTGTATCTTTACTATGTTGATCCTTCCTATCCAAGAGCATGGGAGATCTTTCCATTTTCTGGTATCTTCTTCAATTTCTTTTTTCAAAGACTTAAAGTTCTTGTCAAATAAGTTTTTCACTTCCTTGGTTAGTGTGACCCCAAGATACTTTATGTTATTTATGGCTATTGTGAAAGGTGATGTTTCTCTGAGTTCCCTCTCAGCTTCTTTGTCATTTGTGTATAGGAGGGCTACTGATTTTTTTTTTTGAGTTGATCCTGTATCCTGCCACATCACTGAAGGTATTTATCAACTGTAGGAGTTCTCTGGAAGAGTTTTTTTTGGGGGGGTCAGTTATGTACACTATCATATCATCTGCAAATAACAAAAGTTTGACTACTTCCTGTCCAATTTGAATCCCCTTGATCTCCTTATGTTGTCTTATTACTATTGTTAAAACTTCAAGAACTATGTTGAGGAGATATATAGAGAGCAAACAACCTTGTCTTGCTCCTGATTTTAGTGGAATCGCTTTGAATTTCTCTTCATTTAATTTGATGCTAGCTGTTGGCTTGCTGTATATTGCTTTTATTATATTTAGATATGATCCTTGTATCCCTAATCTCTCCAAGACCTTTATCATGAATTGGTGTTCAATTTTGTCGAATGCTTTTTCAGCATCTAATGAAATGATCATATGATTTTTTTTCTTTCAGTTTATTTATATGATGGATTACATTGACAGATTTTTGTATGTTGAACCAGTCCCGCATCTCTGGGATGAAGCCTACTTGATTATGATGGATGATTTTTTGATGTTTTCTTGGATTTGGCTTGCCAGTATTTTATTTAGTATTTTTGCATCCATGTTCATGAGTGAGATTGGTCTGTAATTCTCTTTCTTGGTTGAATCTTTGTGTGGATTTGATATAAGGGTAACTATGGCATGTACTCACTCATAAGTGGATACTAGCCATAAACAAAGGACATTGAGCCTATAGTTCATGATCCTAGACAAGCTAAGTAATAAGGTAAATCCAAAGAAAAACATATATAGATCCTCCTTGGAATTGGAAACAGCCAAGATTGCCTGACAAAATTAGGAGCATGGGGGCCGGGGTAGAAGGAAGGTACTGGCTTTTTGGGATCCTATTCTCTTTGGATGGATACCTTGCTCAGCCTAGATGTAGTAGGGAGGGCCTTGGACTTTCCGCAGGACAGGGTGCCTTGCCCTCTCTTAGGAATGGAGGGGAGGGGTGGGAGGGAGTGTGGAGGGAGTGTGAGGAGTGGTGGAAATGGAAATTTGGATTGTTTTTTTTTTCAAGTAATAAAATAATTATAATAAAAAACAAAAAGAAATTACCAAATAACCCAAAAAAAAAAAAAGAAAACTTGTTTGTATTTAGAGGCATTTAGGGATACCTCTGTATAGTGAATAATGTTTCTGTGTGTACACCTTGTTGAACTTTTGTGGGCTGTTTTAAGACAGGGTTTTTCTTTGTAACAGCTTTAGCTGTTCTTGAACTAGCTTTATAGCTCATGGTGGTCTTGAACTCATAGTGATCTGCCTGCCACTGCATCTTGAGTGAGTGTTGGGATTAAAGGCACGCTCTACCACCATCTGACTAGTCTAACTTTTGATATCTATCCCACATGATGCAAAATGAAAATAGAAAAGTGCTGTTGTTTTTAAATGGTATATGCTTTAAGGTTTTCTTTTCCATTCTTTAGAGACACCTCTAAGTAGGTTTGACTTCTTAGCATGTAGATGACTGTTTAAAAAGTTGGTGGTCAACAAAAGAGATTTATATAATCATTCTCTGTGAAAACTGTTATTTCCAAAGGAAAGTCCTGAGAATGCCATTAGAGCTTAGACAGATGGAAAGTGAACTATTCTAGACAAAGGCATTATGTAGGGCCCATGAGATATCCTCCCTTTCCCTCACTTTCAGCAATGTATTTTCAAAATACTTTGCATTTAATTTATTTCGTGATTTGTGTGCATGAAAATATGTGCACATCTGGAGTTTAGAGGACAATTTAGAGGAATTGGTTCCATCTTTCCACCATATGGATTCCAGGGATGGAACTAGGGTTTTCAGAATTGATAACCAAGTGTCTTTACCCACTGAGTCATCTCTTTGGCCCAGCAATATTGTCTTTAAAGACTTCTTCATTTTTAGCTGTCTTTATCACCATTTCCTTGATCTAGGCCCAAAGTTCAAGTCTCACCATCTCTGGGGTGTTTATAGAATATACTCAAATGACAGACTCAGAATTAATTTTGGTTATCATTTTTTTGTTAGTATTTTTAATTTATTTTGTTGAGACGAGGCCTTTCTGTGTAGCCCAGGATGGACTTGAACTCTATATATCAGAGACTATCCTCAGAATTGTGTGGATCGCCTCACTTCAGTTTCCCAAATCCGAGCTCTCAGACATGCGCCTCCATACTTTAGACTTTATATTGAAAAAAATAAAGTATACAATATGTGATTTCAAATATGATTTTTTTTATTTTCCCCCAATTCTTCCAAACATAAAACCCATATCCAAAGAGGTGGAAATTTTTACTAGAAAAAATAAGGATAAGTTATAACACTATTGAGACTTGTATCTGGTGTCCTTATAATGTGCTTCTGAGCCTCTATCCCCAAGCCCTGTTTGAGTGTCTTGCTGCTACCTTGAAGCAGAGCTCCCTTTCAGCTGGGCTCTGTCTCAGATCAGTCAGCCATATCTTAACAATCCATTCATTCATCTCACCCCTCCTTCTACATCCTCTGAAATAGAGTACCCTTCAGAAACCTCCGTTATGTGACCTTGCTTATTCTAACACATAAGCCTAACACAAGAGCCCCCCTGGTTTCCTATTGTCTATTCACACAGTCATTCCCTTTGTCCTCCTGTCCCCAAGGAAGAAACAACCTTTCCAGTCTACCTGTGTCAATAAATCCATGTTTTTCTTTTTTTTTTGGGGGGGGGGTGAAATAATTCCACTACTTTTACAAAACAGACATATATAAAAAGCACTATCTTCTTGGCCTTCCTCAATCCTGCAGCATCCTGTTCCACATTGTATCTTATCCCCTAACCCAAAGCTCATTTTCCCTTTGCAAAATGACTTTCAAGCCTTTTTAAAAATGTAAGTCTGCCACCATACATACACGTACCTAAGCAGCACTTAGAAGGGATTTTATGTAGAAAACAAACAAGTGGTCTTATCATATGAATTTTAAATTTTAATAATCCAATAATCATGCCACAGTACTTTATGAGATTTCATTCTTTCTTAGATCTCAAACTTATGTCTTGGATTTCAAGCTTGCTTCTGCTGCCTCCTCCTCATGACTCATGCTTTCCCCTGTTCAGTGTCTCAACCTAGATTCACTCCTTCCCTTCATAGCCTTGAGTCCTTGCAGAAGTGCTCCTCACTCCTTAACCTGGCAGTTTTGTTTCTACTCTGCAACCACTCCAAGTGTGCTTGAATATTTAAAGTAAATGCGAGGCTTAATGGCCACTGCTCAGCTGCCCCGCCCCTGTGATCCTGCCTTTGGATTTTTCACCCATTCATTCTGTTAAGTACTTCATTGCCTGATAGGTTCCTAAATCAGGTGGATTTTGCCCTCTAGTGGACATGTGATTATATCCAAGAGGCAGTTCTGGTTGTCACAACTGAAGGAGTATGGAATGGGTCACTCAGACAAAGAGAGACTAGGAGATCTGCCAAACACCCTAAAATGCACAAGAAACGTTAACTCACAACAAAGAATTAACCAAAACCAAGTGTCCAGTACACTGAGATTAGTAAACCCTGCAATAGAGGAGGATAAACAAGCCCAAATGGTATTTGGAAAATTGCAGGCTAGGGATCTGGCCCCTAATCCGGATAGTGACTGTGGGGTCACCAATAACAGATAACCTAAAGTCACGTATCTGTTCTGGGTGTTTCATGGCTACAACGGCTTCTCATTCTCTAAGTCTGTAGTACCTAGAGAACAGCCAAGGACTTAGTCTGGTCCAGGTGCACTCTTTCCTCCTTTCACCTGTGGATTAAAATACACACATAGTTAATTTTGACATATCTTATAGCCACATGAAGGGAAGGAGAAGGCCAACCTCCTACTTATCCATTTGCTCAGCCAACTTTCACCTTCCTTCAGAGTTGCTCCCCACAGAGATAAGGTTCTGTTGTACTTTACATTTTTAAATGCACCGAGGTATTTTTAAATCCTCATTCTCCTCCATTTAGCAGGCTACTGTGCGGGAAGGGAGAATCCCACCAGATAGCACTGTGCTTTGGCTCACGTAGACTGGCAAACCCTTTATGTGCTATTAGTTGCTGACTCACCGTGGAGCAGTGGCATGGCTTTCCTGTTTAGATCTGTCTCTAGTTGTGCACACGGAGGACTAGAAAAGATTACCCTGTTAAAAGGCTGTATAATCATGGAAATCTTTGCTTGCATGTAGTGTTGACATCCTCCACAGCGTTTTAGAATACTCGGAGGGATGGCAAATTTCTGCCATATTGAGTCAAGCATAAACCCGAGGTTAACCCATCCCGGGTTTCGTTTGTTGATTTTATTTCTTGTGGTATTACTCTCTCAGAATGGGAGCTTCCAATCAAATTCACTACTGGGAACAATTACCCGAGGCTTGATCTGTTTCTGGCAATCAAATTTCCTTAGAACATAGGCATCCTACCCAGTTCATTCCTGGAGACATGGGATAAAGGAATACTTACTGCTTGCACTAAGCTTCTTCAACTTTCCCGCCAATTCCATTAAGTTTCTTTAATGATGTATTGTTTTGAAACTACTTTTCTAAGTCAGATGTGGTAATATACACCTATAATCTCAGCACTTAGGAAGTGGAGGCAGAAGAATCTGGAGCTGAGTCATCCTCAGCTACATATTAAGTTTGAGGACAATCTGGGCTACATGAGACCTTGTTTTTTTTTAAAAAAAAAAAAAGAAAGAAAGAAAAAGAAAAATCAAGATACAAAAGAAAAATTGTATGATTGAGAATGATCTGTTTCTCTGAATAGGCACATACTTCTTTGCTTAAAGAGAAAGGATCTAGGTAAAATAGAACCTTGAAGAACACAACTGCAAAGAAATAAAAGGTGACTGAGTTCTCTGTAGTCAGCTGATCAACTGCACTGTGCCTCCTCGTAATTGTCATCTCCTGGAGTCTCTAGTATCCATCTAAAACTGTTTGGAAAGCAGCCTATTCTGTTCCCTATTTTAGCCAGGGCCAGGGATGGGCTGTGGCCTTCAAAAACACTGCTTGCAATGCTGGCCCCGACTTCCAGTGATCCACAGACTCTTTATCCAATTCCATCCTGACTATAGAGTCTACCTCTCTTCAGATCCTCAATGAGAATCAGACAGGGTCAAATAATCCCTCAGGCTCTATCACTTAAGGGTTAGGTGTTTGGAAAGGGAGGGATTCCTTATATTCAGCTATCTAGGTCTACCAGACACTAGGGAGGACATACACATATGCATATCAAACAGAGAGAGAGAGAGAGAGAGAGAGAGAGAGAGAGAGAGAGAGAGAGAGAGAGAGAGAGAGAGAGAGAGAGAGAGAGAGAGAGAGAGAGAGAAGCTATTCTGGGCTGTGAATGCTAGTGATATAGAATACAACAGAACTAATCAAAACTTCTGCCTCCCCATACCATTTCTACTGTCTCAATATCTCACACCCAAATTTATCCCGTTCTCTTGACCCCCCCATTCCCCTTCCACAACTGTACCCAGTACCCTCCATTTCCCCCAAAAAAATGATATTCCATTGATTTGTTTCTGTTCTATTTCACATTCCAAATTCAGTACGGGTTTTGGAGCCAGATTCCCTTCCCACAGTGGAAGCAGTTTTCCCTCCTTGAAAAATTCACAGCTTTACACCAAGGGCAGTCCCAGTCCCCTGGCCTGCGAAACGCTGTAGTTCTCTTGTCTTTCTGTAGTTCCTGATGATCTCCTCTGTGGATTCCCAAATCAGACAGGTGGCTCACCTCACAGGCCATGGGATAGGGATGCATCTGAGGGGGTCTGTCTATGGTTGGCAGTTGGGATGTGGTGGGCATGGCTGGGAAGGGGCTTTCATAGGAGTATGTGAATGAGGCAGGGAGTTGGACAGTAATGGGTTCAGAGGAGGTTGTGGATCTCAGATTCAGGGACTGGGAGAGAGAGCACATGGATGATTCCTTCGATCTCAGATCGCCTGTTCTCTGCCTTTTCAAGGGATAATTTTTCCACTTCATGACTCCAAGAAGCTGCATGATACTTCCATTGGTCTCCTCCGAGGCCTCCTCAGGGCCAGTTACGGTCTCTACCATAGGAGCTGCTGTCTTCTCCGCTCTGCCTTGTCTTCCTTTAGCAGCAGCCATTAACTCCGCCAAGTTTTCCTTTCCAGCTGACCATTGTGTCCCTGTTCTTCTGGCAAAAGCAGGAGGAAGGGTCACAGCCGGTTTTACTGCAGCTGGGAGAGCCCTCAGCTCCTGGGGAGAAGTGAATATGGATGAGATCGGTTCTGGGAATGGGGTACACACATAAGGGTGGGGTGGGCAGGGGAAAAACAAAAGCAGGTGACAAATCTTACTTCCTGGAGGATCTTCAGTCTCAGCAGGTCTCGCTCTCTCTGCACCTCTTCCAGTTTGGCCTGGGTCATTTGGAGCTGGATAGCTAACTCCTTCCGTTCCGTCTTTTGTTGGTGAGTGAGCTGCTTTAGGTCTGATGGCAAGGATAGTGGAGACACCTTATGCATGCTGGACAAGTCTTGTAGCCACTGCACCCCGTGCCCCTGGAGGCAGCCTTGCCTGTGAGCGAAACGCACCCCCAAGGCCAAGGTGCCCCAGGCACAGGCTTCACGAGCCTCGCTAGACACCTCGCTATCCTCCAGGATAACTTTGAGCTTGTCTTCCACCTCTTCCCAGGATAGAGACAGGTTTTCAAGGTAGAAATCAAGGCCTTTGTCGTGTTTGGCCATTTGTTCGTTGATGAATGTCGACACCTTGCTGTGCCGGAACCCACTACCAAGATCCTCAGGATTCAAGGCCATGATGGTTGAGTGCCTTCTGGTTTTTCCTGGCCCTGAGAGAATAAATCAATCTGCTGTCCTTGCTTCTTTAGTCCCTTGGTGTTAGTATCTCTCCTCTCTGTCAATGTCCAGTCAGCCCTTTGTTCTTCCCGGCTCTCCCCTCCCCACCCATCCCTTCCCCTTCCCTCCCTCTGGTCTTCTGGCACACTTTGGATCCCCACAGCAGGTTCTCTGGCCCCGCCCCTCAACTATTATGTCATAATGGATTCTGTAGCTGCCATTCTTTAAGAGATTTCTCAAGTGACCTCACCTTTCCAGTCAATTAACAGGGGAGTTTCTAGGTCCACCATAACTGCCTTCTCAACATGGGATCCACTTAGCAGTCCCACCAAGGTCTTCCTATCATACATCAAGAGAGGAAGCACAACCTCAGACTGTCAGCCTGTCTCTCTCCAAGGACTTAAGGGAAAGGAAATCTTTAGACCAACTCTGCTGGTTTTTGATCTAGGACTATTCTAACTTCCAGACTGTGAAAATAATAGGGAGAACTAGATGGTCTCCACACCTCCTTGGAAGTAAGGGAAACATTCTTGAAGTCATGTGGGGGAAGAAGGGGACAGAAAAGACTTGAAACCAAAGGAACTGAAACTCTATGAAAAAAAGAAAAAAGATTTAAAATTCATGCTCCTCTTCTTGCCAGGGAGTTCACCCTACACAAAAGACTCACGTGGCCCTTCCTGGAGGTACAATGTTGCATGGCATGTCTAAAGACTTCCATAACCAAACTCTTTCTAAAAAGTAAGACAACAAAAAACCCTACTTCCCAATAAAAACTGGAAAAAAATAGGCAAATTAAAATTTATTTATATAAATGATAATTCATGGGTTTAGCATATTGAGAACCAGATAAAAGTTCCGAGCACTCCAGTCATCAGAAAAAAATGGTGGGTTAGATAAGCCTGGACGGAGAGAAAGCACCTGATGGATTGTAGCTAGGCATTTGGTTGTTGGATCACTTGACTGCCTGGACTGGTTGAAAACCATCCAATTGTGACTGGTAGAAAATCAACTCTTTCTAACCCTTTTAAGTTAAGGTTTGTTTGCACATCAAATTCATTGTGGATAACTAGGAAATGTATGGAGAGGACCTCGGATTGATCTTTTCTTTATTTAACTTACTTACCTTCTCATTTTTATTATTTTAATTTGAAGTGGGGTTTTTGCATTTAAAAGAATTAATAGGCATTTTTAAGTCATTCTGCATTTTTGGAAAATTGAGCAGAAACCATTTTCCATCTAAACTGGTTAAAATTACAAAGCTAATTTAATACATTATTAATTAAAGTTCAGATGAACATTCATCCAGAATAATGCAGTCTATAGGATTTGAAAAATATATGTGTATCTATCATTTTTAATTCTTCAACTATTCATCACCCCACCCTACATTCACCCCAGAACTTGGACAGCCAGTGATCATTTTTATTAGGTCCATAGTTTTTGTCTTTCCCAGGAAAAAAAATATATTTGGAATCATGTAATAATAGCATTTTCAGGTTGATTTCTTTCTTTTAATAAATTTATTGTTTTTATTCATATGCATTTTATCTATCATTCTGGGATTTATAATAATTTCACCCATGTTATAATATATTGTGAGCATATCTGTCCCTACATACCTTTCCTTCTCCCCTTTCCACACTTATGCTAATCTCTTTTTTGTTTGTATGTGTTTATGCATCTGTAAAAATTTGGTGTTCAAAAATTAGAGAAAACACATTTCATTTTTAGACTCTGGCTTGTATTATTTAATGTAATGATCAATTGCTCAATTTTCTCGCACATATCCTAATTTTATTCTTCTTATGGCCACATAATATTTTACTGTGTATAACCAAATTTTTACTACTTATTTTATTTTTTAGATTATAATATGATTACATTTTTCTCTTATTGTCCTTCTTCAAAACCCACCTATGTACCTCTCCTTGACCTGTATCAAATTCATAGCCTCATTTTTCATTACATGTTATATATGAATACATGTTCCTAAATATATCCTGCTTAGTTCATATAATAGCTCTGTGTTTTAAGGCCTAGAAGTTGATATTGGATAAACAATTATTGTGCTTTTCCTTAGGAAAGATAGTTTCTCCCTCTCTCAGCATTTCTTAGTTACTTGTAGTTTGTTCTTTGTAGAAAGATGGACTCTTAAGGAAGCTTGAATTGGCATTTCCCTGATTGCTGAGTATATTAAACACTTTCCCTGATGTTTATTGGCCATTTGTATTTCTTCTTTCAAGAATGGATTATTCAGTTCTTTAGTTTATTTATCAACTTGATCATTTTTTCTTGTGTTTAATTTTGTTCTAGATATTAATATATTACATAATACATAATTTACATATTTTTGTAATGTAGCTTCCTCTTCGTTCTCCTGGTTCTTTCCTTTACTGTGTAGAAGCTTTCTAATTTCACAGAATTCTAATTTTTCAATTCTTTCTATTATTTACTATGTTATTGGATTCCTGCTCAGAAGGTTGTTGCTTATACTTCCTAGATGGCTGTGGCTTCATGAATTTGTTTCTGTATCTTTTTTTTCTATTTTATTGATATACATATCTGGCTTTGTTCTAGCAACATAAAAGTTTTGTTACTATAGATTTTAGTATAAATTGAGACTCATTGTGATACCTCTAGTATTGTTTTTTCTGCTTTGATTACTTTGGCTATTTGGAATATTTATTCTTTCTAATACACTTTAGATTATTATTAATCATTATTATTATTACTTCTATGAAGAAAACATGTGGAATTTTGAGGACAACTAGGTTGAATCTGTACATCATATTTTTTTAAACAGACAGGTTGTAGCATCTTCTAGTGCCTTCTTTAATAACATTCTTCGGAATATTAATGATTTATTATAAGGGCATTGCTCCTCTTAGTCAGGCTTATTCTTGGGTATTTTAAACTCTGTTGTAAATAGGCAGTTTTCTAAACCTAAATTCATTCTTTACAAGTTCATTATCTATGTATAGAAAGGCTTGTTTTTCTGTTGTTGATTTTGTGTTTAGATTATGAATCTGGTCTATGTGATTTCTGATAGAGTCTTCAAGAACTTTTAAAATGCAAGATGATGATTATCTGTAAATAAGGATATTTTGATCTCTTGCTTTTCTGTTTTTATCATTTTTTCTCTTTCTATTAATTCTGAGGCATTCAAATTGAGAAATTTGGTGGTGTGACTAGAGATACTCTTAATCCTAATACCTAGTACAAAAGGAAATTCAGATTGTAGGAAAAGATCATTTCCTGACTCAGTAAGTGTGTTTATGAGAATTATATTATGTTTTAGCTCTTAGTTTGTTGTACTAGCAAGGAATTTAAAAGGGAGGATTTAAGAGGAATTGGACACATACACATGATTTTATATGTTCAATGCATTTTTGTGACTAAGATTGAGTCACTAGTCACTAGGATAAAGTTGCTGGAAATAAAGTTTAGAGGGATAGAAAATAAAATGAAGTTTTGGCTATTACAAATAATGCTGCTATGAACATAGATGAGCAAATGTCTATGTGGTATGACTGTGTAGACTTTGGGTATATGCCCAAGAGTAGTATTGCTGGATCTTGAGGTAGATTGACTCCCAATTTTCTGAGAAATCATCATACTGATTTCCAAAGTGGTTGAACAAGATTGCACCTCTACCAGCAATGGAATATTGTTCCTCTTATCCCACATCCTCTTCAGTATAACCTGTCATCAATGGTTTTGATCTTAACCATTCTGATAGGTATAAGATAGTTTCTCAGAGTTGTTTTAATTTGCATTTCCCTGATGGTTAAAGATGTTGAGTAATTCCTTAAATGTCTTTCAGCTATTTGAGTTTCTCCTGTTGAGAATTATGTTTAGATCTATACCCCCATTTTAAATTATATTATTTGGTATTTTGATGTCTAGTTTATGGAATTCCTTATATGTATTGGAAGTCAGCTCTTTGTCAGATATGGGGTTGGTGACGATCTTTTTCCATTCTCTAGACTGCTGTTTTGTCTTATTTACCATGTCCTTTGCCTTACAGAAGCTTCTAAGTTTCAGGAAGTTCCATTTATTCATTGTTGCCCTCGGAGTCTATACTACTACTGTTGTTATATTTAAGAAGTGATCTCCTATACCCATGAATTCAAGGATACTTCCCACTTTCTCTTCTATCAGGTTCAGTGTAACTAGATTTATGTTGAAGTCTTTGATCCACTTGGACTTGAGTTTTCTGCATGGGGATAGATATAGATCTATTTGCATTCTTCTACATGTCGACAAACAGTTATGCCAGCACCATTTGCTAAAGATACTTTCTTTTTTCCATTGTACACTTTTGGCTTCTTTGTCAAAAATCAGGTGTTAATAGGTGTGTTGATCAGTATCAGGGTCTTCAATTCAAGTCCATTGATCCACATATCTGTTTTTATGCCAATACAAAACTGTTTTTATTTTTGTAGCTCCATAGTAGATCTTGAAGTCAGGAATGGTGATGCACAGGATTGCTTTGGCTCTCCTGGGCTTTTGTTTTTCCATATGAAGTTGAGTATTGTTCTTGTGAGGTCTGTGAAGAACTGTGTTGGGATTTTGATGGGGATTGTACTAAATCTGTAGATTGCTTTTAGTAAGACTGCCATTTTTACTGTTAATCCTACCTTTCCAATAACATGGGAGATCATCCCATTTTTGGTATCTCCTTCAATTTCTTTGAATGGAACTAGAAAAAAAAATCATCCTATGTAATGTAATCCAGACCCAGAAAGACAAACACAGTATGCATTCACTCATAAGTGGTTATTAGATGTAAAGAAAAGGATAAATGTGCTACAATCCATAATCGCAGAGAAGCTAGGTAAAAGGGGGAACCCTAAGAGAGACATATATGCAGGACTCCAGGAAGGAAAATAGTTAAGATATCTGAGTAAACTGGGAGTGGATGGGTAGAAGGGAGCTGATGGGGGGTGAGAACATGAGGG